TGTGCAGAAAACGCAGTGTTTTTCTTTTAAGGAAAACTTGTGAAACACACCTTTCCCGCTAATTAAAATTAATAAAATTATATTCTTTTTGGTTGCTATTAATGAGGTCTATAGCAAAATCTATAAACCGTTTGAAAAAATAGAACCATTTTGGATTTAATGCAATTTAAAAAAATGCATTCGAATATCTGCATAAATAAATTAAAACATCATAATTTTTAATCTACCACACATAAATGCATATTTTTTTTAGTTATTGATTGTAAATTAATGTATTAATTCATCATGTTAAATAGGTTATAAAAAATGTGTACTTAGTTTTATAAAAAAATATTTTTTTAAGAGGTTGAAAAAACTCTTAAAAAGCGAATTTATCAACGAATATTTAAAATATTTGGGTTAAATTAATTTGTATTTTGGGTTGTGGGTTATATCCACGCTTATATATTTCGGAGTTTAATGTAAAAACGTAATTTTGGGAATTTTTTTAAACTGTTATCTTTAAACCGCTATAACTTCGGCGGCTTAATTTCACACTTTTATAATGCTTTAAAAGTGCATTTAGTATTATCCAAAGATGCACTTTTTTCAAAAAATATTTCAAAAATTTTTTTCTTTGTGCATAATCAAAGTCCTATGCTTTTTGCTAAGACAAATGGTGCAAAAACAAAAATTTTATCATTAACCCTTTAGATGTGATGAGACTTTAAATTTTCAGATTTTACACTTTACAACGCTATATTTCATTATACAAGTTATATATGGAACATAAATTGGATGGAGTTTTATTAAATTCGCAGATGATGATGAAAAACACCATTGTTTGATAGTAAATTATTAAACCACAAGCCAACATTATAACCATCATAACTCCTAAACGGATTACAATAAATTAATAATTTTAACACTATTTTTAAGGGCATTGAATATTATATATGTAATATGTAAAAAATTTATATCTGGAAAACTATTATAGTTGGAATCTTCAAAATCGTAAAATGTTTATTTATTTACATTGCTTTAGTGTAGCAAAGTACACTGGGAATAGCTAGTATGTGAGCAATTTTCAAAGTTTTTTTAATTTTAGAGTTAAAAAAATCAAAAAAAAATTTTGATGGCACATTCAAAATATTTTGTGTGATTATAAACAGACCCTAATACGTGACGAATCCGTTCGCGTTAGCGGGTTTCACTTAAATATTTAAAAAAAATTCTTAAAAATAGTATTTATATGTGTAATATATGAGAAAAAAAAATTGTAAAAACAATTCAAATTTAGCGCATTAAATACATGCCATAAGATTTATTAAAAAAAATTAAAATACACAGTAAGAAATTTCATTTCAGTAATTTTTTAACTTGTTGCTTATAGTTTTTGAAAAATCGCGAATTATTAAAATATAAGAAAAAAACTGTTAATATCTGAATTCTACGAGCTTGATTTATAAGGGAATGCAAATAAAAAATTATAGTTTGAAGGAATTAAATATTTATAGATTGATGCTTTTTGATGCTAGGTACATTTTATTTGGCCCACAAAAACCACAATTATTTAACTTTTTTGATGCGCCCCAGTTTTACATTAAAGTATTAAGAAAACTTGTAAATGGTAAATGATCATTTTGACGAATTTTGAGCATCATCCATGATGTACCTTGGCAAAATGTTTAGATTAAAGTGACGTCTTTGTAGCTTACAAGGACATTTTAAATACGTTTATGATCCCAAACTATTGTGTTTGTCATTATCTTCATGTTTATTCATTAACCATTGTTGTCCCAATTTTTGTATTTTATTAAGGGGCGTCAGCGCCCGGTCAAAAAACTATAAAAAATTAAAAATTGGAAAAAAACCTGGTGACAAATTTCAACATCCAAGTTCTAATATGTAAAGAGATATCACACGGATAAGCTGTGGGTTACCGATAGATTTCATTTGGAATAGTGCTAAAGGTTATGGTCATTTTGAAGGCAAACGCGGTACACACAGCCAACCACACCGTACCACTACAATCTATCTATCTACTTATCTATCTAAATAGGGTAGAAGGGGGACCATACGGCACTTTTTTTTTGAGGCGGCCTCAAATTAAAACCACAATACATATTCTTAATTTTTTCTTGGTTCGGATACTTAGATATGTAGGCTTTAGTTTTATCCCTTTCAATCTTTCCTAAGTCATCCTCATACACATATTTTTTTAACTTTTCCGCACTGACCAAAAACGGCGATACCGCCCCATCCATGGGGTAAATACGCCAAGGGGATGGGGCAGATTTGTCATTAGTAAAATAAGCCAAAAAAATTAAAAAGTAAAAACTTATTTTGCTGTTTTATATTTTAAATCACTAAACAAAATATAATAAACTAGATATTTATTGTTTATTTCACATAACTTAACAAAAAAAATTAAAACAAATTATTAATATAGTCTAGTTTATTAAAACAATATTGAAATTTATTTTAAAATAGCAAAATAACTGCGCTAGAAAATATTTTTCGAAACAAGTCCTTTATTATTGATTCAAAATTATAGCACATTTTAATTTAAATTGGCAATAATATATTCTTATATGAAATGTTTATCAATATTGGATCTCGGGATGATAAAATACTTCTGCCCCTATATTTTAAGACCCATTTGGTCCCAGTTGGTATTGAGATGCCTAAGTGTAGCGAACATTTTGGGTTTTTTTTTACCAAATTAATTTTTTTGCATTTTACATCAATTTATTTTAAATTCTGAAGACATGAATCGTTAATCAGTCAATCATAATATAATTTATAAACATTTGATAACAATTATTTATTATTTGAGAATATTTCCTTGATAGATCCAAAATTTCTAAATTTCGCGCGATAGCACTGAGCGTTTTTAATATTTGAACTAGGCCTATGTTTAAATAGGCCCAATAATATGGTCATATTTTCTACAAAAGGTTAAAATTTAGTGATCCTAGTATTTTCATATCCTTAAAAAAGATAATTGGCCAAGAGAAAGGATGCTAAGACATGCACATGTGCTAACTGAAACAGCACAAAGAAAAATGTTTTTAAAATTCTTTTAAATGGTAATTGTAATTTTTGTAAATGGAGCTATATTTTTTTAGGTTCAGTCAGAATAAAATCAATTTACTGCTGGCAGTGCGTAAAATCCAGTCATATTCTAGTGTCTGTGAATATAGACAATATATTTTTTTAAAAATAGATCGCGGTAAGCCATTAACTAAAGAATAAAATAACAAAATTTAAGCGTTGTAGTCATAACGAAAGAGGACAGAAGAGATTTCATAAAATCTGCCTCGAAGTCAAGTGATTCTGAAGCAAAAATTTAATAAAAAGTGGGTGTTACAGCAAGCCTAGCTGCAGTAAAACGTATTGTAAGAAGGGTCATGGCTTTAGCAATATTAAAAAATTAATAAAAACCATTCCAATTGTCACTCGTAAAGAAAACACCTCTTCAGTTTGCACATGAACACATGGTTATAAAAAGCAATATCAACATCTTGTTTTTTCGGATGAAAAAAAGTTTAATTTAGAAGGTCCAGATCGATATACATTATTTTATGATTTTTGAAAGGAAGAGCTCAACCTGAGTCGTCTGCATAGCTATGGAGGACGTGGGATGTAATGGGGGTAATTTCGTATTATGAAACAAGCGAACTTAAATTTCTTTCATATAGTAAGAATTGTAATGATTGTAATGCCATACTGGAAACAGCTTTTTTCACATTTCGGATATTTTTGAACCCTTGCCGTGGATATTTAAAAAATATAATGCCCCGATCCAAGTTATATCAAGTAATGCCGGATATGTTCCTTAATAAATCTTTTCTAAAACCTTGTAAAAAATTTTATAAAAATAAAAAAGTTACATGAAAAATGCATTTTGTTGTTCTTTTTGTCAATTAAAGATGATGAATCTATTCAAATGAGCCAAAAAAATATTGTTCAAAAACGTAGTGTTTTAGAAAAAAAATTATTAAAAATCGGTTATTAAGTATTGCACTAATGTTTGTCTATCTAGTGATACATAAGACATTATGCTATTAATTCAAATTTTAATAGTCCATTACTTTTTGCAAAAAATTAATTTGAATGTAAACAAAATAGTGAACCTATTTAAGTGAGCGGGAATTAACATATATAAATCATTATGCGATATTTTTACCGGATCGGTCCATAATTGGTCACAACTCCCACATAAGGATCATTTCCGAAAATAAATTAAATACATAAATTCATTGACAATAAAAGTTATCGGGATAAAATTATAAACATGAATATGTTTTGTATATATAAATATATAAATCAGTATACGGGATTTTTTCCAGATCTGTCCATAAATAGTCATAGTCCCCATATAAGGTTCACTTCCGAAAATCACTTAATACCACATATTCATTATTAAATGATTATATCCGGATAAAATTTAACATGAGCTATTCTGTGTATAGATAAATATTTCTGCTAGAATGTTTTGCAATTGATCGGTTATAGGTCGTAGCTCCCATATAAAGCCAAATATATCGTTTAAAAGGTCCGTATCCGAAAATCACTTAAAAAATTTTTTCTCGTCCTAATCAAAATAAGTTCTATATATGCATAAAAAAATACTAAATGACAGTACCCTCACTACGGAAGCAATAGGTACTTATGTCGAGTTATCTCATAATAGTTAAATGGGTTTTAATAAAAAGTAGCTTGCTGGTGGAGAGTATTTAAGATTCGGCATAGCCGAATATATCACTCTAACATGTTTTTTTTTTAAGTGAAAAAATTACGAATTTCTCACAGTTTAAGTTATTGGTTTTGTGAAAAAGATTTTCGCGGGAAATTACAAAAATATTGGATACCGGGATTTTTGTTATTATATGTGAAAATTATAAGAAAAGGCTATGAGTCAATATTTATTTAGCAATCAACTAAAATTCGGAATTTTTGACATTAATTTTCTGTCACACAGGTTTTTATTGTATAGAAAATTTTGAAATAAATACCTCTTCACCCTGATCATTTAGCTTTGCATTTATTACAATGTTGTCGGGATGTTTTGGAAATAATCCCAAGGTTGAACCGCTGGCATAGTACATATTATGCTCCCCAAGACGGAAATATCCCTCAACAACATTGTCAGTTAATGATATCCCAAATCCTTGCAGCATATCATTCAGTGCTGGAATATTAGATCCACCAGTATCTGGAATCCACCATTCTCTTGTATTTTCATCAAAAAATTTCATTTTATTCATTACAGATGAGTTATACCAATCCGCGAATATAATAATACCAAGACCAAGCTCAAATACATCTTCCTGTAATTTGTAAATTTCTTCATCAAAAAATTCTTCTTCTGGGTCAACAATTAATAATGTTCCATAATTTGACGCATTGAAACATGTGTAAGGCATTCCCAGTGTATCTATATAATAACCAAGATTTCTAAGGTGTTGATACATATCACGGAAATTTGTATGTATATGATCGCTTCTCCAATCCAAAGGGTCTGATTTAATTCGAAGATTGTCGCGTGGGATATAACCGGGTGGATATTGCAAGTTGTGGAATTGATCCCATAATATTCGTTTGTGTCTTGGTGGCTTAGAAACAATTTTGACGGTAATGGGAAAGATAATTGTAGTAGTATACAAAGAGTCATCAAATTGAGGGGTTTGAATTTTAACAGTTATATGACCTTTAGATTCACCTTCGAAGAAGCAGGCTTTATCATTAACAACTAAAAATAAAAAGTAAATATTGCTTTAGTAAACATTAATTTCTTCTCAAAATAATAAATATATTTTTTTAAATTATGAACGATTAATTTCTACACAGAAAAAAGTATTCAATATTTTTTTCCAATAAAGACGTTAATCAATATTAAATTTGAATTTAATTGTATTTTTAATTAATATGATTAATTTTTAATTTTCAGTTAATTAATAGTATCATTTTGATGATTAGAGCAAAATCAAAATTTGTTTTAATTAATATGAGCAATTTCATAATTGAAATTAATATTTATTTTTTTCTGTGTGCCTTTGACAAAACTATTTGCTATGAACAGGTAAAATTGGGTGTATAACTTGTTTTCCGAAAATAGAATGTCCAGTTACATATAGTTTAAAGATACAACTAGCAAAGATTTTGCTAGGTAGTTACAGAATTTCTACGTTCCAATGAACTAGTATATAACTTTTGCAGAAACTAGTTGTAGAAGTAAAGGCGATATCGTTATTTCCAATATTGTTCAAGATTCTGAAATTTTTCTGTATAAACCCATTCTAGAAATAGGTAAATCAGAAAAAATATTTCTGAACAAATTCTAAAAGTACTTCTGTGTTCAAAGCTAGATTAATATTAGTATATAATTAATTATATTATTATATAATTAATTATATTATTATATAATTAGTATAAAAAGTAAACATTTTATCGAAACAACTTTTACATTTTCTTTGACATATTTCAGAGTTTTTTCTCTCTTACTTTTTAATTTTAATTTTTTTCAATTAGATTTAGTATGAGAATTTTTGTTAATAAATATTTACTAATTTAAGAAGTACATTAATTTTATTATATGTATAATTTTAAAGTAAAAATGCGCGTTATAACCAGTGATTAAAATTACTAATATATTAGTAACCAAAATGCATATTTTCTCCTATGCATACGTATGTAATATTAAAATATAAATATATTTTATGAATATAATATATTTAATTGCTACCATTCGAAATATTTCTAGTATTTTTGCTAAAAATATTTACCCATACAAACTATTGCATATTACAGCTTACAGACAAATATAAAATGTTTTCACATACAATATATTACGCAGCAACTCGCTAACATATTTATAATACCCACATATATTTCATATGGCTTGCCTATAATATTAAAATATTTTCCTACACAAATTATTCGAAGTCAACAATATTGAAGCCATGCAAGCAGTAATATACGAACATGAAATGTACGCAAGCAGAGCATATATGTGCCGACGAAAACACGAAACAAAACGATAGTCGCGACTATCAGGTTACAATATTTTTACTATCAAACTTAAATATTATTTACTATAGGAAATGACTTATGGTCTAAAATTTAACATTTCATGTTGAACTTGAAAAATTATAAAATGTGAAAAATGTATGCAAGATATAACCAAATTTTATTTAGAAAATAATTGAAAACGTTTATATCTATGTATGTTTTATGTATATTATGGGAAAAATGTATGCATGAAATAACCAAATTTTAATTAGAAAATTTTTGAATTGAATTATTGAATGTATGTATTTATTAAATTTATGTTTAATTTTTATGTGGAGTATTAAAATGTATGTATTTGTATTGATTGTAATATAATTAGAAAAAAATTATATAAATACTTAGAGGATCATATGAATGTAAAAATATATTCAAATATGCAACACCATTTATATCTGGTTTTGTATATACATATGTATGTATGTAAGTATGTGTGAAACAATAACAAAAAACACATTCGACATAAAAATGACCTGTAACAGCACTTTTCTTTCCTACTTTTCACGCACATTCCATAACGGTGGATTACGATAGGTCATTTTTTCCCTGAATTGGTGGAGGGAAGAAGATATGTACGTGTGATGCAAAAATACATTCGTCATAAAAATGACCTGTAGTAGAAATTCTCTTCCTACTTTATCATTTTACGCACATTCCTTAACGATGGTTTACGCAAGATCCTTTTTTTTGCTTTACTTGAATTTGTGGTGGGGAGAAGAGGAAAGAAATATCATTATTATTTAGTCTCTCTCATGCAAATTCAAAAGGTTGGCAATGGCATATGCAAATTTATTAACACCTATATATTTTTTTCTTCGCGCCTGTTCATTCATTATTGTAAGATAATTGAGTGTATGTAATAATAATTTATAGAAATGTGACACATGCATATGAAAAACATACTTGTATATGTATGTAATACACTCATACATTTTTGTTGTTTTAACCTTTCACAATGTAAAATTACAAAAACAAACTTTTATGTTTTTATGTCCCCTCTTAATTTTTTGCTATCCTGTTACAAATTTCCTTCATTATTGATCATTTCATAGACACTACTAATGCATTACTACCTGTTTACAAACTTATTGTCTTCCTGTTACAAACAATATGTTTAAATATAGCCTGTAAAAACAATTTTTTACATATATACATATTTGAATATATTTTTACATTCATATGATCCTCTAAGTATTTATATAATTTTTTTCTAATTATATTACAATCAATACAAATACATACATTTTAATACTCCACATAAAAATTAAACATAAATTTAATAAACACATACATTCAATAATTCAATACAAAAATTTTCTAATTAAAATTTGGTTATTTCATGCATACATTTTTCCCATAATATACATAAAACATACATAGATATAAACGTTTTCAATTATTTTCTAAATAAAATTTGGTTATATCTTGCATACATTTTTCATATTTTATAATTTTTCAAGTTCAACATGAAATGTTAAATTTTAGACCATAAGTCATTTCCTATAGTAAATAATATTTAAGTTTGATAGTAAAAATATTGTAACCTGATAGTCGCGACTATCGTTTTGTTTCGTGTTTTCGTCGGCACATATATGCTCTGCTTGCGTACATTTCATGTTCGTATATTACTGCTCGCATGGCTTCAATATTGTTGACTGCGAATAATTTGTGTAGGAAAATATTTTAATATTATAGGCAAGCCATATGAAATATATGTGGGTATTATAAATATGTTAGCGAGTTGCTGCGTAATATATTGTAAGTGAAAACATTTTATATTTGTCTGTAAGCTGTAATATGCAATAGTTTGTATGGGTAAATATTTTTAGCAAAAATACTAGAAATATTTTGAACAGAACCATTTTTTAAATATGCATATTTTTAAATATGAGGTAAATGCATATTTATTGCAAAGTCAAAAATAAAAATATAAAAGCATCTACTAATATTTAAACTCTGGTTATAACAATCCTGTTTTGCAATTTTGCATGATTTTTAGCAAAATATTATGAACATATGGCATCGCTACAACATAAAAATAAGAGAACAATGTGAGGATCGCTAGAGAGCGCAGTAAAAATAGAATAGAATCTATCTCAACCACAATATCGCCAACCACAAGACGATATTTTGCTCTACATACAAAATGTATGAAAACTTATTGTCGAGAGCGGTTGTGGTTCCAATTGTAATTAAGCTGTAAGCTATAACGTTGCGGATTGAATTCTATTTTCACAGGTTTTCGTTCCATCACGGAACGGAACGTAGAGACTAACTGAGCCTTTATGTGGTTATAAAATTACGCTTGTATTTATAAAACAAATCTTATTTTGCTTTTAATAGTTAAAGCACACTTTAAAAACCATTAATAAAATTGTGATATTCATAAACAAATAAAAAAAATATTAACTATTGAGGTGTTTTATGTTTAACTTGGCAGCACTGTACAATTTGGCTGTCATTTTATGTATTAGTGTTGCTACAATTAGGATAAAATATTCGTTGATTTAGTTTTCTTAATTTCATATTTTTGTTTATAATAGATTTTTGACAATAAAAACGAACTTTTAAGAAAAATTAATATTTGTTACATATGAGAGATGCTAATCAAATTATTGCAAGTTCGCCAAATTTTCCCGAACGTTAATTAAGACTTTTATGTAATTATGAAAATTTTTTATAATCTAATAGTTTACCAGATGTACGAAATTTTGTATTTAATTCATATAGAAGGTGAAAGTCCGCCCGTTAATCTCTAAATGTCAAAGTTCTTCATGTAAAATTTTAAGATTCTAGCTCTTATACTTTTCAGATATACAAATTTTTCTATTTAATTCATATGGGGGCTCCAAGCCCCCAAATTAAAGTCCGCCTTTTTTCTCCAAAATGTTCAGATGAGTATTAAGGTTCTTCGTGCAAAATTTGAAGAATCTAGTTCTATGAGTTTCCCAGATAAACCAAATTTTGTATTTTATTCAGATGGGAGGTGACAAACACTCCATTGAAAGTCCTCCCATTATTAAATGTTCAGATGAATGTCAAAGTTCTTAATGTAAAACATGAAGATTCTAGCCCTAATAGTTTCTCAGATATACGAATTTTTCTATTTAATTCATATGGGGGTTCCAAGCCCCTCCAGATGAAAGTCCGCCCTTTTTTCTCCAAAATGTTCTGATAAATATTAAGTTCTTCGTGAAAAATTTGAAGAATCTAGATCTATTAGTTTCTCAGATAAACGAAATTTTGTATTTAATTCTTATGGGAGGTGCCAAACCCCCATTAAATGTCCGCCCGTTATTCTCAAAATGTTCACATGAATATTAAAGTTCTTCATGTAAAATTTGAAGATTCTAGCTCTAATAGTTTCTCAGATATACGGGTCTTTCTATTTAATTTATATGGGGGCTCCAAGCCCTCCAGATGAAAATGCGTCCTGTTTTTTGAAATAAGTATTAAAGTTCTTCGTGCAAAATTTTAAAAATTTAATTCTATTAGTTTCCCATATAAAGGAATTTTTGTAATAATTTCGAATGGGAGGTACCGCTCCCCTCATTGGTAGTCCGCCAATTTATAACCCAAAATGTTTACATGGATGTTAAAGTTCTTCGTGCAAAATTGTAGGATTCTAGTTGTAATAGTTTCCAAGATAAACGAATTTGTGAATTTAATTTATATGGAAGGTGCCACGCCCTCTGCTGCTAGTCCGCCAACTTTTTATCCTAAATAATCATATTGACTCTGAAGTGGCTCCGACAAAATTTGAGGACTCTAACTGTTATATTATCTCAGATATACTGATTTAATATTTTCTTAATATGGGCGTGGCTCCTCGCCCACTTGAAATTTGAAGAAAATCGGTTCAGCCGTTTAGTAGTCTATAAACTTCAAATATACATTAATAAATGTTTATTTAGTTCAGATGTATAAATATAACATATAATTTCTAATTATTATTAAAAGTATCCAAAGAATAGTAATCAACTCATTTATGGATGATCTGGAACAATTTACCGTATGAAGACGTTGTCATCCTTGGAGACTCGCTGATTGCATGAAGACGTTTGGACTCACACCTACAAATACCTCAACACCCACACACACAAATTGGCTACATTTTTTTGGAGCAAGAATTCAATAAAACTAATTGGTGATCTATAGAAGAAGAAATATCTTTCCTAGAACAGAATGTCACTGATTTATATGATCGAACAGTTCCTTTGAAAATTAATAACGTTGTACATAAAGCCAGACCATGGTTCTCGAATGAAATCAAGCTGTCTATTAATCATAGAAATATTGCGTATTGCCGATGGAAAAGATACAAAACTATACAATTACACCATGCATATCGTTCTGCTACAAATGTAACAAATAAACGAATTAGAGATGCGAAAATCGCTTATTACTCCACTACTCGAATGAAATCAAGCTGTCTATTAATCATAGAAATATTGCGTATTGCCAATGGAAAAGATACAAAACTATACAATTACACCATGCATATCGTTCTGCTACAAATAAACGAATTAGAGATGCGAAAATCGCTTATTACTCCACTAAGTTCTCTAACTCAATCGGATCTAAAAAAACCTGGCAAAATATTCGAGAAATTTTTAAAGGTAAACAAACAAACTATGATAGCATCAATGTCGACGCTGATGTCATCAATGAAAAATTTGCAAACTTGCCTATGGTTGAAGCTGACTTAGATTTTTATTCCAACCGCTTTGGCAACACAGTCAATATTCGTAATGAACTTAACTTCTTTGGAGTTAATCAAATAGATGTCTGGAATAGTTGTATGGCAATAAAATCTAACGCTGCTGGTTCTGATGGAATAAATCCTAAGTTTTTAAAAATACTATTGCCTCAACTTCTGCCCTTTATTACACATATATTAATAAAATCATTTCCACCTGTCACTACCCATCAAAATGGAAAAAAGCTAAAATTATACCTATTCAAAAATCTAAGTCCGATTACAGACCCATAGCAATCTTACCATTTCTGTCCAAAGCCTTTGAAAAGCTTCTTCATACTCAAATTACGTCCTTCTTAAATAACAATAATCTGATTACTGATCGACAGTCCGGGTTTAAATCATATAATAGTTGCTTAACGGCTCTTATTGATGTAACGGAAGACATTAGGAGAGAAGTACACTGAAAATAATCCATGCCTAATATACACGAAAAATGTTGTACATTGTACGAAATGCTTCGTGGTTTCGCACCACGAAATTCTTTCGTAATATATATGAAATTGTACGAAATATTTTAGTAAAATGCAAAATAATTTTATATAATTTTAGAAAAAAAAATTGTTCATTTTACTATTTTTTTTAAAGACATAAATATTTTAGTTCTTTTAAAATAATTATTGTAAATTTAGAAAAAGATTGCGAATTGAAAAAACCAAATTTTTAAAAATTTTACAGGAAATTAGGCAGCTAATTTCCTATAAATTAAAAATTACGTTTAATTTAACTCCCTTAAAATTACGAAAATAACAAAAAAAAAATCGTAACAAAATAATTTTTTTGTGAAATCAAAAATAATTCTTGTATATTACTAAATAATCTTGTTACGAAAAAAATTCGTTACTTTCGTTAAATATTACATGCCTTAACGAAATTATTTTTGTAAAAAAACAAAGTTTCTTAATATATACGAAAAAAGATATTACGACAGGTTTTCGTAAAATTAGAAAAGCGGTTGATTAAACAATATTTCGTATTATACACGAAATTTTCGTATATATTACGAAAAAAGTAGTTACGAAATTTTTTTCGTAAAGTTAAGCATGGATTATTTTCAGTGTAGATAAAAATAACGTCATATTACTAGTTCTGTTAGATCACTCCAAAGCCTTCGACACCATTGACCACTCAATCCTGGAATTCAAACTGCACACCTTTTTTAACTTCTCATCTACTCGTTCATTGTTATCATATTTAACTAACAGATATCAGTATATACACACATCTACATAAGACTCAAAATGCTTAGGAGTAAAAAGAGGCGTCCCTCAGGGGTCAATAATTGGACCACTTTTATTTTCTCTATATGCGAATGATTTGCCTGCTCAACTTAAATATTGTAAAATCAGAATGTATGCCGATGACGTCCCAATTTATATCAGTTGTAAATCAACATCAGTGAATGAATATATATCAAAGCTAAATAAAGATTTGCATCGAATATATCTTTGGGCTACATCAAATGGTCTTAGTATAAACCCAAATAAATCCAATTGCATAGTCATTACGAAAACATCAATAATAACATCCTTGCCCAAATTATATTAAATAACCAACACTTTAACATTGTCAAATCTACTAAAAACCTTGGTATCATCTTTAATAACAACCTAAACTGGAAGGACCATATTACATATGCGTGCGGTCGCACATACTCTATGCTTCGAACTCTTTGGAAACACAACACTACACACCCACTAAAATAAGATTACTTCTCGCTAAAACATACCTTATCTCAACATTGTTATATGGTGTGAACTCTTTGCAAATTGTGATTCCACTAGTTCCACAAAACTAAAAGTAATTTTTAACAATATCACCCGTTATATCTTTAACTTAAAAGGTCGAAATAATGTATCCTCGTTTTCCAGCCAAATTTGTGGTACCTATATCATTTCAAAATCTAATGAAATCTAAAGTATTATTGATGTTAGACCGAATAATATATAACCAGCAACCTGACCATCTTTACAATCGCCAGTTTCAAGATCGAAAAGAGATAGAGGACTAAATACATTTCAATATAACAGCCTAATATGTGAATGGCAATTATATATCAATGCTACCCGCCTTTGGAACACTTTACCTAATAGCGTACAAACAACTAGCAATGTTAAGACCTTTAAGAAGTTAATTATTAAAGATTTTTCAAATTAGTTTACTTTTGTTTGTTATTTTGTAATGCTGTCAATTTGATTGGAATAATTTTGTAACATTTTCTCATATCTTTGTCATTTAAATTTTTATTTCATAACTAATTTTTATGCTGTAATATAAGTCTACAAGTCTTGTGCATAGGATTTCGATAAATAAATAAATAAATAAATATCCGAATAACGGATATTTTGCGACAAAATAAGCACTATTGCACATTTTCTTATTTTTACTTATTTTAATTGAAATTTTTGATAAATTTTTGCAAATAATGATAAATTTCTTTTATATATGATTAATTTTAATGCCGGCAAATATATTTTTCATTGGTAAAACACTAATCAATATAATTTACATGATTAATACTTTATGACATTATATTTAACCAACAAACTTTGAAAAAGGCCAATTGGAATATTGTCAAATATTCGTATATTAACCCATTCGTTCCCACTGTACTCGCTTGGGTACAAAAAAACAACCTGTTTTATAATGCTAGATTACCCATATTACTGAGTTTTTTGTAAAATTTGATTTTTGGAACATTACTTTAGGATCTAAAGAGTAAATGTACCGAATTTTAAAGTCATAAAAACATAACGGTAAATTTTAAATAATTTTTTTGTCAACAGTGTTTAAATTTTTCGATTTTTCACCCCTTTCATTGCAATTTGATGTCAAACTCTTTCATTTTGAGTTGAATGGATTAGAATTTTACAGAAAAATAAAGTAAACAGATCATATATCTTAATTATCTATTAAGGATGTTTATGTCCTTTTGGTAAATATTTTAGAAGGCTTGTAGGTGCTACTGATTATCTTTATAATAAAATCAGTTCACATTTAGATTTTTCCATTATTTTTACAAATATTTCCAAGAAATTGATGAAAAAGGAATTGATAAATACAGTTTATTACTGGAGGATCTACCAGATAACACTTTTGGTGAATGGGAAGTATATGACAGTAGTGTTAGTGAAGAATACATCCCATATGATGAATTTTAATTAATTTTTGCACTGAATACGGTAATACACAGAGAATTTTAATACAGAGAATTTCAATACATTTCATAATTAATCTAATGGAAAAATTCTCAATACTAATTGATTAGATTTTTTATGTACCAAAATATTAAAAAAAATCAATTAAATTATTTTTTAAAAATAATCGTAATGATTATTTAATTCTCTGGTATAAAATTTCTGATTATTAATTGATTACGATTAAAATTAATCTAAAAATAATCAGGATTAATTTAAATTAATGAAAATAATCAAAAATAATCAGAATTAATCAAATAATTAATTTGATTATTTTCAAGGACTAATTTTGATTATTTTTGATTAATTTCAATATATTTGGTACAATTCTCTATCTTTTTACATTACGAATAATGGAAACCTGTTTTTCAAGTTACACACTATTCGATTACATGACTATTTTTATTGAAAACAATATATTTATCAAGTTTATTTCGATTGAAAATCTTGATCTCAGTACAACATATTAGAAAAAAATTACTGCAATCTTTTCGAAATGGGTCTCAAAAAATCCATAATTTATAGCGGATTACCGGAAATATATTTAAATTTTTCTTAGAGTTTTTTTTTTGGGAGAAAATTATACTAAATATATGGAAAATAATCAAAATTAATCAAATTTAATCCTTGAAAATAATCGACTAATTTTTTGATTAATTTTGATTTTTTTTTTTTGATTATTTTCATTAATTCCAATTAATCTCTGATTATTTTTAGATTATTTTTAATCGTAATCAATAATTAATTAAAAAAATTTAAAATAATCGTTAATTAATCATTATTTTACATTTTTAATAAAAATAATCTAATTAATAATGATTACGATTATTAATCATTATTTTACAGCTATGATTTATACCCATATTGTCTCGCTGTACCCATCCGAGTACAGGCCAAAAATCGCATTTCCAAAATTTAAAATTTTTTGTTTTTAAATTTTATTTTAAATTAACCCATAATAAGATATATTTTGCAACAAAAAATTTAAATTTATTGATTTTAAGATGGTTGGGTTGGGATCTAATGGGTTAATATATTAATGCCTAGATTTATGTGCAAAAGTGGTGCGCTATGCATTTAAGCGTTAATTTGAGCATGTTTTACACAGACAGACGGACATACATAGCTAAATCGAATCAGAATTGCATAAGGACACACAATATTCATACATATGTTTATACCTTCCCAATGGTAAAAATACACATTTGTTTAATTCACAATCGATATTGTATCGTTGTATGCGTAGTATTTCAGCAGCTGCTACAATAGTCTTAACAATTGGTTGGTATTTTCTATGCAAAAGTTCTATACAACTCCTACGACAATTTTTCATATGTTTTTCGATTGTTATAAGAAAAACATATGTTAGTGTTGTCAATTCTTTATTTCAGCATATAAACAAAAAATTCAATCGATTTTGGCATAAAAAACGATAAAGTGGTAACACAAAAATCACAAAAAGACAACTGTTTACCAAAACAAACAAAAAATATTTTATTAAAAACTGTTTATTTATTAGTTTAAAATGTGGAATAAAGAAAATAAAAGAATTTCAAATTCAAAGAAATTAATTTGGTTTATTTCGCTTATTTAATATTATTTGATTTTTTATTTTTTGACATTGTTATGAATGTTTGTTTTGATTGTTTTTTTTTTCGTTGAGAATATAAACTTAAGACTTGCTGCAAATATCTGTTCACAATCACTGTTACTACACTTTAGTAGGTACATATACAATTCCCAGCGGTAAAAATACACATTATGTACTCGCTTATCTAAGCGATATTTCATGGCAGTCAGTGGTGATGCTTTCACTTATTCTTCCACATAGATTTAACATAAAAGTGTCTTAGGCTGCCTCATCAGTGTTCTCTCGCGTAGAATATAAGCCACAATATCATTAGGGCAAATTAAAATTTCACTTACATAATGTGTGGAGTTCTAAGTGAAGTTAATGATACGCTTA